TTCATAAATAACAAAGCAACTGAATGTGTTGTACTGCAAACCCCAGCAGCACCTCTGCCTCAGGACCCGGTCACCCACCTTTGTGTTCTGCTGCTGCAGCCCCCCATGTCTCCTGGTCAGTTTGATTTTTTACCCCACTGTTATCACTGGGACCCTTTCCAGAACCTGACTGCTCTAATTGCAATCTCCCAACCTTCATGCTTAATAAACTGCAGATCAGTTTGTAGACCCTTCCAAGGTAATGTTGGCCTCAATCAGCTAAAAGTTTTCTCCCCTCCCTTGTGTCTCACTGCAGAAGGCGAAGTGGGGAAAAACAGGAGGAAGGAAGAGGAAAAGAAACTTCAGCATGCACACATACATACATGCATACACATGTACATAAATGTGTATTTATGTGTCTGTAGTATACCTAAAGTCTGATTTACAAATATGGGATGAATATCTAAATTAGGAATGAAAGGTGAATTCCTGAATCCACAGAAGCATTAGCTGCTTTGGCTAATGACTCCAAGTTTTGCTTCCGTTCACATGAGGCAGTTTTGGAGCAAAGCTCACTGGTAAACCAAATCCAACAGCTGTGTTTTGATTCAGTATGTTGGTCATATCCAGAAGTCCCATGAAAATTCTCTCAACAAAACCCAATGCCCATGAGGGACATGAGAAAGGTGTGCTCACCACTGCAGGGTTTAGTGCTAAGGGAGCAAACAAAATTGTACATAAAAAGATCATATGTAGTAGTAATATCACACTTATAGTGCTTAAGGGATTTAAGAGAATCACAGAATCGTTAGGGATGGAAAGGACCTTAAGATCATCTAGTTCCAACCCCCTTGCCATGGGCAGGGACACCTCACACTAAACCATGTCACCCAAGGCTCTGTCCAACCTGGTTTAACACCGCCAGGGATATAAATCAATTTTAAAATAGTTTTTTCAGGGATGGCAAGTAAATTAAGAGCGTTTCTTTCAAGTGCTACAGCTAAGGCCATACAACTCCATGTGTAGATATCCCTCAGAGTAAGAACATCCTTTCAAAGTTAAAACCAAATCTACTGTGAACAGAGATGAGATTAAACCAAAATAAGACATTCTCAATGTCAGCCTATTCCTTCATAATTCCAGAGGTGTTTTGGAATGTCAAAGACCAACCACAGATAAATAAAAAGAAAGAGCAATTCCCAACTATGTATTTTTATTTTCTCATTCCCTTCCATTAATATTCTCCCATAAATGCCATTGAATTAAAATATCTTAGACCTCATCTTAGCAATAATAGGGGCAATTCTGTGAAATAATATTAGTTGTGAAAACATTCACGGGTTATTGTTCTATTTATGTGTAACTTGAAAAGAAAGCATTTTTACAGTAGAAGCATAACCCCAAATAAAATGACTGACAAAGTCTTAAATTCCAAAAAGCAGCAACAAAATCCTGAATCTAATTTTAAACAGTTTTTAAAAAAAGCAAGTTATGACGGGATTTCTTAACCCAAGTCATTAGTCATTAGCTGCGTTAACATTTGCAGCATGTTATGGGCATTAATCAGAACACATTTTAACTTGAGTGCAAAAGTTTGGGACCTTCCTCATATGACCTTCCTGGCGTACTGCCAAGGCTCAGCTCTTGTTGACATTTAATCTGAACATAATCCCCAAAATCTCTGTGCCATTGCTGGGTTGCATGGGAATGATTCAACAACAATGCACATGGAATTGTGCTGCGCATTTTATTCTCATCTCATGGCTGCTCCCCTTCGTTTTCAGCTGCTGCAAATTATTTGTTTGAATGCAAGTAAATAATCTATACCCTTTATTTGTTATTGAACCATATAGTACCTAAAAAAGAAAGCAAGTTTGACACTTCTTCTTTCAGTTGTTTTTCTACTAATGGCTACCATATTTTTAAGGGTCCAAACTCCAGAAAATAAACAGAATTCAGCAGCTGATGAAAAGCCTGGGTTATGAGCTGTGGTGGCTCAAACCACCCATTGATTGAACAGGAGCAAGACCACACTGCAGCAGAGGAATGAGGGTTCTGGCTGCAGGCACTTGAACTGTAGTCTTCTGAATGAGCAACTGCCTTTACAAAAACATACACTTAAACAGGTTTTTCATATTCAAAGATGCCTCTGATCTCTGAAGCCAACTGCCTTTTTGTTATGAATGCTGTGAAAAATCAGAGTCCAAGATATCCACATTTGTGACTTCTGGCACTTGTGCAAGGGTAGGGGTGATTAAATGATGTCTGAACAACACTAATTAAACTGAGGCAACACAGCAATTTGTCCTGCAGGAAAACATGGAAAAGGCTAAAAATCACTGCAACAAGATAAATGTGGATCTCATTGTTCTCTGTGTGCTAAGAATTTCGCAAGTATTTTTTCCCTGCATTCAGAATTTCCCCCCTACACTCAGAAAAGACCTAGGTAGGCAAAGCAGAGTGCTGACTTTAATCTTGCTAATGCAGGTCATGAAAGCACTAAATCATACAGGAGTATGAGCTCTGGTATGGGATGGACAGACCTACCCATTGACCTGCATATTTAGTTCAGCAACAATTTAAGTGTCATTATAGTTCAAGTGAGCTAGCTCTGGTCTATCTACATTTGCTGTGGTCCAATTTCTGCTTGAAGCAGAGTTTGGCTCTTATTGAGACTTCTTATTTCCTGAGTGATACCAACATTTTCCCCTCCATAAGTAAAGGAAGTAAATAAAATGAACAAGAAAAATTATTCCCTGCAAAAGATTAACTCAGTTTAAGAAACTGTGAAAGGATGACAGATAAACTAACCTTAAATTTTATAAACTTTTAGTTTGCAGCAGGCTTGCTTTGTTCAGCATTCTCCCTGTGCATTAACACCTTCCCACAAAGGCATTTCCTACACAGTGTGGACCAAGCTACAAAGGACCATAATTCCATGAGAAAAGTGTTCTGAAGCATTCATAAATATTATTACCACTAAGTTACTTCTAATGCTAATTTGTTCATACATATAAACACGTATCCTATTTCAAAGGTGCTCCTTTGGGTGCACCTTTGGGGTGGAGAGGACCTTTCAGTTCTTCTTCTGCTCTTTATAAAAGCTGAACTTCCCAGGAAAAATAGGAGCTACTCCTTTGGTCCTCTGTTTCCTACAACAGTGTGGCTTGATCCAACTAACAGCTACTTAAGTCAGTGTGGAGCTGTTAAGTGTTTGGTTTAGGCCATGTAAGAGGGAGAAACTGAGAAACATGCTATTACCTGGCCTTCAGCCAGTTACAGTGCCACCACTAATGAGTGGCTGCTACAAGACCTTTTGAAACAGTCATGTGTGAGATACGAATCAATAAACACAATGCAAACCCCATCCCTATCTCACAGAGGGGAAAAATCATTGCAGCTTTATCATAAATATTTTTAGGTGTTTTGGTGCCAGCCTTCTGCCAGAGGAATTCAGTGATAGGGAAGGGCAAGGTCTGTTTGCAATGCAGCCCTCCCCAGGGAGGTGCATTTCACGGCTCCCAGCCAAAGCCTCCAAAACGCCTCCAGGGTAGCAGTTGGGCTGGAGCTGCCCCATCACGCCCTTCCACTGCAGCCGGATTTGCCTATTTCTGCATCTGGCACCACCAAAGGCTACAAAAACTTGCAGTCAGCACAATCCCTTCCAGATTGACTTTTGAGTCTCTTCAGCTAATAAATGCTGAGAGCAGTACATAGGCTGGCAACAACTGTAAGCACAGTTTACACAGGAGGGTCTCCACCTCTCAGTCTTTTTCATGAGAATTTCTGCATGATTACCATCATGGCCCTCATCAGCCTCAAAAGCAAACTGGCCACCAAACCAATTTTTAAAAATGCCATTTCACCTAGCACTGACACAACAAAATCCTTTTTGCTCAGTGTTTCCAAACACCACAGTAACAGTGCTATACTCAGAGCGTCATGATGGAGAGAAGCTATGCTGCTTAGTCCAATGACTCAATAGTGGTTTCTAACTTTGCTGCTGCAGAGGCACCAAGAACGCCTCGAGAGCTTACATCGTGATGCTAAATACATGTTCACTATGCAGCTAATCCTATTGTTTTCAAGACAAAACAACAAGTCTGTGCAGCCTACAGCTACTAGTGATGTACATCCTACTTGTGCACCATGTACTACCTAAATGAAGAAGTACTTTCTGTAGTGAAATGCTTTTAATAACATCTCCCTTTGCAACCAAAAACTCAGACAACAGAAAAAAAAAATCAGAAAGAAAGCAACCAAGGATTATAAACAATATTACATATATAGGTGTATCTCACACGATTTATGGAACACAGGCAAAACATCAGCAGTGCTCAGGAATTCCATGATCCCTTCCAACAGAGAACTGCAAAGGGCCTTTACAAACTAGAGGTCCTAGAGACAATTAAGCACTACCTATTTTCATGTAAAGTGTTGCAAAGCCTGAAGAGTGAACTAGGGGTGTGAGGTCAAAAGAAACCCCAGACACACGTGCAAGCAAATCTGTATGTGCAATTACCACTGCCCTGTGCGATAAGTAAAAATATACATAACAGAACAGTCATTATTTCTCTAACTTTCTGTTGTGGGCCTTCGACAACAGTGGCTTTGTTATGAGCTTGCAAATTAGCTGCATGATGGAAGACCACTCACTTGAAAGCTCATTCAAGTTCACAAGGTTGGGTTCTCTTGTGTTGCTAGCTTGATGTAAAACTTGGTTTGTGCCCCTAACCTGGCTCTTATCCAAAGAGAAAAGATCTCAGAGGTATGGAGTGGTGCTGTGAGCCTGAGCAGATGGCCCACAGGCAGTCAGAGGAGACAGCTCGATATCATTAGGGATAACAATGCTACCAATGCACATAGGAAGCAAAAGCTTGCATTTCAGCATCCTCCTCAAATGCTAAGCCTGAGAGAGACTGTCTAGTGTCTAGCACCAGGATCCAGAGGCTCTGGGGGGAAAGGCACAGCCAGCTCATATCCACATCCCTACACTCTTTTCCCCTGCAAAATATGGTTACCTTTTCAATAATGCCTGCTGAGAACAGTCCCTCGCCATCCCGCCACAGGTGTCATCTGGGGGTGTGCTAGCTGGCACGGGCCAAAACCATATCACGGAATGTGCTAGAAATGAAACAATACGGACAATCATAAGATACAAGTCCTGGCCCTGATTAACTTACCAGTGCAGAAAAAGCAGTGGTGAAGCAAAGTGGAAGTGTAGTCTTTCAAGCCTGATGCTGCAGTTAAAATATAAACATCAGAAACAGGGCAGTACCAGCAGGACCAAAGACTAAAACTCCAAAGTTTAGACTCGTAGCCACAACACAATCATGTCAGCACCACAAGAAAGCAGGAAGCTTTCAAATAAATTCTAGACACTAAGTCAAATAATTCTCAGAAAATAAAAAGGCTGTGAGTGCCACAATACATATCAGGGTGCTGGCAAAGGCAAAGTGTGAAATGGGTGCTTTCCAGCATTCAGTTTAGGAAGACAAACATTGTTTCACAAATTCACTGTAGCCCTGCATATTTCCAAACTCCTTAACTCACGCCAAAGGGCTTGGACTTTCTGAACATCCTGTTCTGTTTCCTCCACTGCTAGTCTGAGTCCTCAGTGCTAAATGTCTTTATTTCACAGCCACATTTTCTATCATTTTATTCCAAACTCCTCATTCTGTAGGCTTTGTATTTTACCTCTGGGTTAGAGTGAAGACAAGCAAATTAATGAGAAGTCTGAACAGCACACTCAGTTACACCTATATTAAGAGCTTTCCACAGCAAGCATCCCAGGGCACTGTATAAAAATAAAACTGCACAAATTGCACTTGAAGCTAACAAAAAGCTTGTGGACTCTGGCATGCCTTGAAGCATAAAGATTGATGATTAAATGATTCCACAGTTCCCAAAGTCTCAGAGCCACATGAACACAGACCATTTTACCTGTCATTGCCTGGATGCATTAGCAATCTGCCTGGATGTAAAGCTGAGACATCTCCATGACGGCCTACTGGCAGGAAAAATATTCCCCCCTGACAAGGGCAGGAAAACAACTTTAGCCTACAATCGGGAGCTGGCCATTACAGGGATTTCCTAACTAACTGATTGCAATGCCTCCTGCACCTCCTCCTTTCCCTCTTCACAGCTGCAAGAAGTTCAAGGTATAGTGGTTTCATGAGAGTGACTACAATAGCAAAGGCTTGGGCATAGATAGGAACATCCTCTCATCATCCTAATGACTTTCAGCTCCCAAATCCACTGCTCTTGAGACTCCACCAACTCCACAAAAAACAGAAGCAAAGACTTTGGCATGGCTGACATGCACACTAGGCCCAGCTCATCCACCTGTACAGATCTACTTCCTGGCTGCTGGGCTAAAGTGACACGGGAGAAGGCATTTCTCTTGGTATGAGAGGAACTGCTGGCACTGAAGTGCTGCTGATGGTGTGGAACACAAAACAGTCCACTTGCTTCCTACTTCTCTGATGTGAGACTTCCCTCTTGGTTCCTTCCTATTCTTTCCCATGGCAGTGTTTCAGGCCAAGTGGAAAACATGCAGTCAGAGATACAAAGAAACAACTGTGACCTTATTTGCCTTAAATAACTGCATTTCCACGCTGTCTGGTCAGGGTGCCCAAGCAGACACCGGGCACAGCAGATGCTCCCATGGGAATCTTAGACCCTGATAATACCTCCAAAGTGCCCCAGTAAGCTATATGGGTGACCCTGCATTTGGTCTCACTCTCATCAGGAGCTGTTGCTGGTTGTCAGTACCTATGTCACCAGCACAGCTACAAGCAGCAGGCACAATCCTGCTGTGCTCCAAAACCCCATGCCCTTCATACAACCCTTTTCCAGGAATCCTCACTTCCAGCTACAGGGATGGCCACAATGCTGTCTGGTAAGCACAAATCCTGTGTGAAGCTCCCACTTAATTTCATCTTGCCCTGCAATTTGAGGCAGAAATGGTTAAAGCAGTGTACAGATAACAAGCTGGTCCTTGCTGAGATTTACTTCCCTCCTTGAGATAATTTAGGAGAAAAGAACCAAGTTAGGAGAAAAGAACCATTTGCAACCTCTTCAAGCAAGATCAACTTTGGCTTGCAAACCATATCAAAAAGCAGTTGTAGCTCATGCTAGACCAACCCTACTTTAAAATTATGAATTTATTAACACTCGCTAAAGAGGGAAAGGATATAAATGGCGCAAATGGTAAGTGGACAGTAGGCTGTGGCTGCAGCAGTGAAGTCAAGCTAAGGCCCCGGGGCCATAAAAACTTAAAGCTGTTCACATTATTACTTTGTGAGCAGCTGAGGTGATCACCAACACATGCACATTCTAGAATTTACAGAATTAAAACAAAACTTGAAAAATGTTATGGCAGCCAACACAGTGACATTTGTGAAGAGTATTGACTTCAGAGAGTTAGCTAAAACCAGAGCTACAAACTAATGAGGGGGACATGGAATAACATCAACGTAAGAAGAACCAGAGGTCCTGAACAGTGCTGGAATCCCATTTTGAAACTAGTTCAAGAATATGTATATAAAATCAACCAAACAGACAAAGCCAATGCTTCAATAAAGAAGGCCTGAAGGGATAAGACTTCAAGTGGACACTGCTTGAGCAAGGAACACTTTCCTCACCATCTGGCTTAGAAAACATGGATTCCAGAGTGGCCTTCTAATTTCCAACAGGAAAACAGGGAAACTATTTTAAGTAAGCATCAGTAAAAATAAAATCAGAGACGCAGTGAAAGGAAAAAAGAAAGTGGTCAGTGATACACACAGTATTATTTTGTTATTTGTACTTTTAATGCTATTTATATTTGAAAGCTTTCCCTTTGAGACACTGACAGGTGGGCTTCCACATTCATCAGCCTGGGATTTGTCCAACTACCCAGTATTTATGGAAACATGCAAAGGCCAACAGAAATAAAAAATACATTCAAATTAATTTCTGTCACAATTAGGGATTATTACTATCAACTCCCATTCAAGTTCAGCCACATATGAACAAAACATTTCCCAGCATCACACTGATATACATTTCAAATGCTCTCCATGAAATCCTACTCCAGCAACATAGCATACCATGAAAAAAACTAATGCAAAAGTTTGACATGGTCTGACACAACTCAAGTTGTCTGGAGATAAGCTCTTTCAGATGAACTTCTTGTGTGGGCTTAATTCCCCAAAGCCAAATACTTAACGTCATTCAGGACACCAGCGCAGCACGTGTGATGGAAGGGACACGAGGAACCTGTACATCAAATCACGACACAGCAAATCTGGAGGAGAGCATCCGTGAGAGTGGGATGACTGCTGCGAGAATGATAGCATGCTGAAATACCCTGCACAGTCCTTTCCCAAAACATAGCATTTGGCTCCTCAGAAGCTACGGCATTTGAAATCGGAAGTGCAGCTCCTCTTGCGCATCTCTGAAGTTCGTCAGAAAACACTATGAGTGTGATTAAGAATCAATCACATTCATGAACCCATTTAGAAAATGAGAGCTAAGATGCATGCTGCTTCTCTAGTAACCTGGATGATCTAACTTAGTTTCAGAATCAATTGGCTGCTTTCTGCTCAAATTGAAATCTGTAATTAGCGTTGTCCATGTGTCAACACTGTTTAGCTTAATTAGCTAAGCTTCTTCTCTAGCAGACCTTTCCCTGATCTATTTATTATGAACTATCTTATCATGCCTCAGGCTTTACTTTGCTAGCCTATTATGCTAACATACAGGCTCTCAGAAATACTTTTCTTTCTGTACCTGTCCTCGTTTGAATTGCTCTTGAATTCAAAACCCAGAATTACATACAACGCAACACATGGCATTTCATTTTATATGCTTTTCTTCAATGACTGTAAAATTTCCATGCCTTCATCACTTTCACATTACCCCTATTCCACTCTAGATCCATACTGATCTTTCCAGGGCAACATTACTGGAGATTTGCCTTGTTTTGATACAAGTTTCAAGTACTTTTAAAAATATTTTCTCTACTTTTAAATGTCTTAGGCTTTTTAGTCCAGCCAATTTAACTACCTACCAACATTACTACCTTGTTTCCTTAATTTCAAAGCCTATTCTTTTGTTAGAAGGAGCTATGTTTGCTTGTGTTTGTATTGAATTTAAACAGAAATAATTACATGTATGTTTCATCCAAGATCATTTAGTATGATCAACTCCTCTATAGTATCTTCATGCTACATGAAAATGAAAACTGAGAGAGCACATCAACATCTCAGTTCAGAATCCCTTTTTAAGAAGTCACATTCATTGCCTGTCACAGCTGGCACCCAAGGCAGTCAGTGTCCTAAGCTTCCAAGGGATTGCATCTACTGAGCCATTTACAGCTGTATTTCTACAAGCAAAATAAACATGGCCAAGACTGCTGAGGCCAACTGGCATAGAAAGGTGCCATGCTATTAAATTCTCTCACCTTCCAAAACAAGGTGGCTATTTTCAAACTGCCTACTGGGAATAATCCCACAATAATTTTCAGACTTTACCTGGGAATATTTCAAGTGAGTTCCTATAAATATAAACCAAAAGTAGGCCAGTTAACAGTACAGACAACTGATATCCAGGGCCTGGAAATGCTTCCAAGCACCATTTAATTTACTAGTACATTTAATTTATATGCATGAAGACCTCTTAATGCCTGCACCACCTTGAGTTTTTCATGACTCTTTCCAGATCTTCATTAGCTTGTCATTCTATCCCCTGTCTTCTCAGAGATCAAAGTAATTCTACTGATATCAACCACATCAGCAACAGCTTTAAGGAGACTTTTCTCTGGCTTGACATATTAACCTCCATTTTGTTCCAACAGGGACACAGATCTTTGTCTCAAGTTTCTTCAGGACTGTTTTCAGCTTTAAGTCTGAATAGTATTTCTTTGCTCCTGGAAAACAAAACACTGCTCTTTCCCCTAGCTAAGCCCTGCTGGTGGACATGTCTTTCAACTTATAGGAGTCTTCAGAAACACACATCTGCATCTTCCTCATAGCATGATAAATGCCAGATCTCATGGGGCTTTTCCCCTTCTGCTGCTCAACTATCTTCTATTTTCTACAGTTCTTCTGTAGAAACACATCCTTGTTTCTCCTTAGCCT